TCCTCTTGGAAACCTCGGGACTTAGGCCTTCATTGTCAATGTGCCCTAAACATTCTACTTTTTCATGTTCCCATCATCGTACTAATGGTGTTCTCTGTTTTTTCTAGAGCAAAATTTCAAGTTCTTCTACCTTCCTCCCCAAAACAACTTTTGAAAGCTTAAGAGTCATATATAATTTTTTTTCCATAACAAGTGCCTTACTCTCTGGAATCTGATTTAGTTACCTTTTCTGTTGCTGTGGTAAAAAGGCTTTGCAAATTATCTAAGGGTGTGTAGGCAGCGATGGGTTACTAACCTTGTAAAAAGGGATCGAGTTATTTTGTTTCCTCTGATACATGAAAATGGAGCCTCAACAGCTTCTATGGACCCTCAAATAGTGCTGTAATATAAGTGTTTTTATAGGAAGTTGGCTTTCTCAGGTATATTTCCATTTTTTGTTGTTTGTTTGTTTGTTTGTTTGTAGCTCAGACAGTACTATAGCTTCTTGATAGGATGTCATTACAATTGAACACTCCAACGTATAGCTCAGACAATACTATAGCTTCTTGATAGGATGTCATTACAATTGAACACTCCAACGTATTAACTGATGGTGAGAAAGGAAACAAATGAAGAACATTTGTGAGTCTAGGGACTGACTTCTGAACTCAAGAATCAGTTGCTTCAGTTTCATTAAAGTTTTGTTTTATTTGCTGTAGAGTTAAAGTGACATATCCATTGCTTCCCAGCCTTCCTAAATGTAGTTGCATATTTGCATTTAAGACTCAATAAGCTTCATTTAAAAGTAATGTTTTGATGAAAGCAAATCATCTAGGTTTGGATTTTGTGAAGAATTGAAATGGTTTCCTCCATTACACTTTCGATTAGGAAAGACTGGAAATCAAGTGATTGGTATTTTCTTGCCACAGGGACTGGTAGGCATGTTCTCACATCTTCATTGTTGCAGAAAGAAGTCTTTCTTGAGCTGTCTCTAGATTAGGACCCCGTGCCAGCTAAGTGTCAGCTACAAAGAAGACAGGCCCTAACAAGCACTTTGTAGCTGCATGAGCTTAAATGTGGCATGTTCCCACTTAAGGTTCAGTTATGAAGCTGGAGAGTACCAGGGAAAAATCTATGCAGTTCAATAAACGGCTCCTGCTCTCCAATATTCTCAGAACAGAAGCTCTAACTGGACTGATCTTCAGTCAGATTACTTTAAAGGCATCTTGCAGAGCTTAAATGAAGTCTGACATGAATGTGAAAGCTTTGGTCTCCATTCTATCTATCTATCTATCTATCTATCTATCTATCTATCTATCTATCTATCCAGAAAGGAATAATTTAATGACTGAAAAGAAAATAACAAACCACCAATACTCTTCACTCTGTGGGATGGAACATTAACATAATTAGGCCAAATGGGACTTTCAGAAGTGGTCCAGTTCACAAACCAGCCTATAGGCTGACTCAGCCCAGGATTGCCTCCACAACCTGCCATCTCTCCACTATTTGGACTGTCTCCAGAGAGACAACTTATAATGATCATCTTTAGAAATGTGGGCAGTGTGAAGCAGTTTGTACTTCGTATAAATACTTGCATTTTGTATTGCAAATTCACCATGCTTTGTGTTTCTGCAGATGCCTCCTAACTAGTTCTGTATCTCTGCTGCTTAATCATGTTTGCTCACGTCTCCACATAGCCAGAAATTGTCCATGCCTCTGAAGCTGTGAACTATGCCTCCCAGATACTTAGAAATGGCTTATTAACTAGTATGATGGGTAGTTAGCTGTCGCAGCTTGAATTCTGTAACATTTTGTACTTGTTGCTCCTAAATTCAGTATTGTTTACTTGGGTCACATCAGTTAGGAATTGTGTTTGACTTCAAATAATAGATTTAATAATCTAATAACAAAGCAAGGTTTATTTCCTGTTTACCACAAGGGTCCAAAGGATTACACTACCCAGGTTGTCCCTAGGTAATTCTGTGCCCCAGACTCACTCCTGCTTTCTGTTCTATCATCCCATTCACTATTTTTCCATCTACAAGAAAGCCTTGTGGTACAATATGGTCATTGCAGATGAAAACATCAGATTAATATTCGAAGAGGATGGAGTCACACTAAAATATCACTACCATCAAAGCTGTTTCCCTTAGAAATATGTCCAGAAACCCAGTGGGGAATATTTACATTTGTTTCCTATATCTGAATGTTAAATCAGACACACATTCTCATATCAAAGCCTAAATTATGAAATGTTAAAGTACATAGAATCTGCTTTGTTAGGAGAAGGTTTGTGTACTGATAAAACCTATGTTGTCTACTGGACACATACTAGAGTCAAAAAGGAAGAGGGAACCTCAAGTGAGGAGTTGCCTCCATCAGATTTTCCTATGGACAAATCTGTGGATATTTTCTTAAATAATGATTCATGTGAGAGGGCCCAGTCCACTGTGTTTGATGTTACCTTTAAGCAGGTGGTTCTAGATTGTATTAAAAGCAATAAAGATGTACAAGCTTTAAATATGCCAAGACCTATATTTTGGTTTTATTTTCCTTCTAATGTTAAATTTCCTATTTCACTTTGTGTTTTCATGTTGATGGATTTTTCTCCAAATATACTGTACAAATAGATTTCATTGCTTTTTATTTCTGTTTTATGGCTTTGGGGGTGTTGAAAATCTAATACATGCCAAATGCACAAACATTGATATATACCTCTAATTCTAATTTGCTTTGATTTGAAAGGTTCTTTAGTTCCCTTTGCCTTTCAGTTTCCTCCTAATTATTTATTTACTTGGTACACTATACATATATGATTATCTGCAAAACCCAGTTAACTAAGCTGTTTTTAACCCACGATTCAAAGAGTGACAAGAACTACATTGCAAATGGACCAGGTCCTAATAAAATGTTACACGGAAAACAAAGTGTCAGAAGGACAGACAGTATCACTTAACACACAAGTAGATTTGATGTCTGTGATGGCAATGTAGGAAGAATAATGAAGAATTAGAGAGTTACAGGGAAACTCTTTATGATGTCACATTCCTAGATTCAAATGCCTCACTCAGACTTATTTCTCCTCAGGAATTTTCTGAGTAAATTCACCTCCAGATGCCTTGCATAGATGTTCTATAATTATAAAATTCTTGGCCAATGGCTAGGGCTTCTTATTGGCTCTCTCTGTCTTAATTATTAACCCATAACTACTAATCCATATATGTCCACGTGGTCTTGGCTTACCAAAGAATGCTAGACCTGCAAATGGTTTGCCTGCTACATGAGGACTGTTAAACATCTCCACGGAGAACAAAGTGATTTGTCCCTGCATATATCCTGATTCTGCCCAGCAACTACATCACTTCCTTTCTGTCTATAGAGACTTCCAAACGTCTATGGTTAGCAAGTGGCAAGTTTATGTCCAGCTACATCACTTCCTGTCTGGCCAATCATCCAATCAGTGTTTTATTCATTAACTAATAAGAGAAATGTATATACTGAAGAACATTCCCCATCAGTGCAGACATGGGCCTTTTGGACCCTTAATAGCCTGAAATTAAGGGAAAATGTTCCCCAAAGGCAGTCCACAATACCTGCCATACATCAATTACTGTCTTTTAGTATCATTCTTAAGATTTTACAGCACACCCAAATCAGGAAAAAACAAAAAACAAAAAAGCAAGTCAAAGAATCAAGAACATAATGGGAACCCAGATGCAATTTTAAACTGCTGGTGTAATATCATCCTCATGCAAAAAGAAAGCAATTACTTGGAGAGGGAGAAAGTCAAAGACTGTCTGCATTTGTTTATTTCTTAGGTAACCATCCTCCCAGAAATCTAAGCTTTCACTATTTGATTGCTAAAACTTTCCTAGTTTATTTAGTAAACAACATATTTTCTTCTTTTTATCTATGATTTTCCCTATTTTCATTTATTATTATTATGATTTGAGGCCTATGCAAGTTTCAGTGAGAAATAATTCCCAAAGCATACACATATCTTAACAGTGCTCTAAATTGCAACAATATTTCCTATTCAAATGCAGTTGGAGTATGTAATCATTCTTTGGAAGAGGCAATTATTAGTTAGAAGTTGACTAAGGACCCTAAACTCTCTTATGTTCTCTTGCATTTTTCCAGGTGTGTACAACACACTAACACTAATATACACAAGGGCTGAGGACTTTGATGTCAGTTTGCTAGTAAAAAATATGTTTACAGGCTATGTGACTCTTTTTATGGGGTCAGAAAAGTGAGTTCATTATTATGGACTCTATAAAGATTGGTTTTCAACTCTATTTCAATCTACATAGTCATGAATGGAAAATCATGACAGGTTTTCTAAATCCTTAAATTATCAGACACTTTTATGTCATAGATGTAATAACTACTAATACTTAGGCTCATATTCAAGCACAATATTCTATTCAGTATGTTATTTTCTATTGGCAATTGGTCCTTTTATTAGTTAGAGGCAACTGGCTACTACAAAAACAAGAAGTAATCCATGACACAGAAATTTAAACTTTATTTCTGTTTGTTAAGACTCATGCATTTGAGAAATATTTGGGAGAAATATGGTGTTTTGGTCGGTTCTTCTTATATAATGGGAGAATTTATTTTAAATAAGAACAAAAAATACTATCATTGAAGTGATGTGTTTAAAACTCACATAAATGTTTGGCTTTAGACAGTGCTGTTAAGTTATAATTGTTTTAAAACTCCCTCTGTGAAGGACTGATTTAGTAATACAGAGCAATACTATCATTGAAGTGATGTGTTTAAAACTCACATAAATGCTTGGCTTTAGACAGTGCTGTTAAGTTAGAATTGTTTTAAAACTCCCTCTGTGAAGGACTGATTTAGTAATACAGAGCATACTAGGTGGTGTTTATCAAATCACAATTGATAAACAGATAAGAAATAGCTCGAATACAGATAGATGAATGGCCTGGAAAATTAAAGATAGCATCTTGTCCATTTAAGAGGAAAAGTTGAAGGGCAAAATTCATACAAACCTTATTGAAATAGATTTGAAGCCTGAAAAATGAGTCCTGAGTTCTTGCACTGGAGTGTAGTTAACAGCTAAAGGGCAGGAAAAAAATTGGACAAGATGAGACCTTTTGTGCTCTTTGGGAACCAATGCAAAATCCACAGCTCTAATTTCAAAGGAAATAAAAGATTAAATTTTGGAGCCATTTTGAGTGACAATGGCCCTGTAACACAGACTTAGGTTACTCCAAATTCCATGCTACAACATAGAAGCAGTTTCATGAACTTTTATAGTTTCACAGAACAGAGACATTTATATATCAAGGAAAGTTTAAAATAGATTGATGGGTACATGAGAGAGACAGGTACAGAGAGATGGGAGATATTTCCTATAGGCTTAAGACATTATCTGAGCTTTGGAGTTAATAACGACCTACTACCATAATAGATTTTAATAGGTCTAATAGATAATTTAGATAGTAGGTAATAATAGTTTATCTATTAATAAAAAGATGTTAGTTCCTACACAACAGAGAGATGGGCAAGAAATGGCTATTTCAGATACCTAGAACCAGCCTAAGATAAGGTAATTAGCCTCTGGCCCTACATCTTTTCAACCTCTCTACACTACACTACTTCTAATCAGTCAATCACTCTCTGCAGGCACAGCTTTCTTTTTGGGAGTTCCCATTTACACCAGAGTCACCCTGAATTAAGTAAAGAAAAAGAGGTTGATAAAAATGACTTCCAACAAAAAAAATGAAAAAAAAGACTTCCAAAATTGATTCAATTTATATCAATTATGTTGTATTATGATAACTCAATTGTTTGCTCCAAACTCTCTTACTTCATATTAGTAGTTAAATGATAAAAACTGTTTTAAGAGAAATTAAAACATGAATGGAAAAAATGCTATCATGTCTTCTAAGGGGCTGTGGATGTTTTTATGTTTCAGAGAGTTGTTTCCTTTGACTTGCAATATTCATGCTAGTTTCAAGCCCTTCATATGTAATTTTAAAATACAGTTACTTTTATATTATTTTGTTTACCAATGGGATAAATACATGCAGGGAATAGTCACTATGGCCCATTTAAGACACTGAGGTCTGGGGATGTCAGGGATTCTCCACCTTTAGGGCAGTTACTTCCTAGAATGTGAAATGCAGCTCTAGAGCAAGTAGCATGGGCCCATGTTTATCTGTACATAGAGAAACATAAATGGGATATCTAGTTTAACTTCCCTAGAGGAATAGTAAAAAAGGCAGAAGATAAATCCCTGAAAGGAGCAAAAGTCTATAAGGACTAATTATGTTTAAAATAACACAGAACTAGTTTGACTATCCATAGCAGACCAAAACAATGGCTAACACTGGACATCCAGGGGACTATGAATGAGCAAGTGATGACTGACATTGGACACCTGAGGAACACAAAATAAGCAATGATGCATTATCTTTTATAATCATTCCATTCAAAATGTTGCTCTATGCCAAGTTTTATTAGTATGCCCTTGAGATCAAGAGAAGGACCTATGGCAGGCATATATCTTGGCCTTTGGCAGAATTTACATGTGTGTGCTACTCTGTAGGTATTCGTGTGTCAGCCTTCACAAGTGTGTGACAGCCTGTAGATGTCAATGTGTCAGCTTTCACATCTATGTCCCAACATGCATGTGTTGATGTGTCAGCCTTCCCCTGTGTGTGCTAGGATGTATGTACTGCATAGATGTTTGATGTGTTGATGTGTCAGCCTTCCCCTGTGTGTGCTAGGATGTATGTACTGAAGTGCCTGTGATGTGAGTGTGTATCTCATTCAGCTATAGTCATTCATGTCTTTCTCAACCTCTGGCCTTCCGCAATCCTCCATCCCTTACTAGAGTAGACCTCACAATCACATTAGTATGTACTTTAATTGTAGCATTAATAATAGGTCCATGGTGAGCTTTGCAAAGTTGTAATTATCATATTTCTTTCTATCATAATTGATCATCAACCCTTCAATATTAATGAAAAGTCAAAGATTGTGAGCTCAGATAACAATTTTTGGGAAAGTCCAAGGGAAAGGAAGCTATCTCTATAGAATTGTGCAAACCCATCTACACCTTCCATAGCACTCACTAGAAACTAAGTATATTAGAGTTGCAAAGTTATCTATTTCTAATGTCTGTCACTTTCCTTCTATTTATTAAGTTAATTTTATTTGAATTAAAAACAAACTTATTTTACATGCCAATACCAGTTCCCTTTCTCTCCTGGCCCATTCTCCTCCCCATCCCCCCACCCAGTCCTCAGAGAGGGTGAGGCCTCCCATGAGGGATCATCAAACTCAGTCACATCATTTGGGACAGGACCTAGGATATGTATCTGGGCTGAGAGAGTATCCTTCCATAGGGAATGGGCTCCCAAAGCCATTCATGCACTAGGTACAAATACTGAATGTGGGTGTCATTTGGGGAGCTTGGACAGTCTTTGGGGCCTCTGGCAGTGGAGCCAGTATTTATCACTAATGCACATCTGTAACTTTCAATTAAACAGAGCACACCTTGTAATATATTTTATTCCAGGTTTGGGCATTATCATAGAATTCTAAACATCATATAAAATCTACAACATTCCACCTTTCCTCAGTCTTCTCTTCTGCTCATGGTCCATTTTTTTTAAAACTGGTATTCACCTCTTGATCTCTCAAATATCTCAACAATAAGCCTCTGGGGAAAGAGTGATTTACATCCCTGCCTCCTCAGCTCATATCTAAAAGTACCTTTTAATCTTTTTCTAGCATTTTATAATTATTTATCTTGAAGCCAGAATTATTTCTTTTTATTGTATCATTGAAGTATTCTGATTTCCCCCATGAAGATTTCATGAGCTTCATAGCTCACACCATTATACTACTTCATACAATGCTCTTACTGTTATTATCATTGACTGTCACTCAAGATGTCTCCTCTTATTACTCAGTTATTAAAGTTTGATCTTTCCATTACTACTTCTGTATTGTTACATATTAACTTCTATAAGCTTTCAGATAATGTTTCTAATACCTCAGTCATTGGTTTTCTCTATGCAACCTCAACTAAATACACTACTTGTCTTCTTCATAATTAAGGTAAATTGGCCATTGTCTCACTTAATTTTACATTATACTATGTCTACACTACTATCCCAACAATGCATAGTATAAAAATGTCCTACCCGTGTATGCCTTTTTCCATCTATTCTGTTTCCTCCACAGCTGTACAATTGCCTTGACAAATACATGTCAGGAACAACTTAAGGGAGGAATTAACTGTTTATACTTGTGACTTCAGAGGATATCACTCCACTATAACAGAAATAACAAAACAGAACTTATGTTGCGTGAGGTGACTTGTCAATTGGTAGAAAAACAGGAAGCAGGGATGTGTGGTAGGAACAATGATTAGTAACATCCTCAAAGCCACTTCCTAATGAACAATTCCTGTCCCCTAAGTACATGTCCAAAGGCTCTACAACTTCTCAAAATAACACTATCAGCTGGAGGTCAAATGTCAAATATATGAACCTGTGGGGAACATTTCACACTCACACTATGGTGGGAGCTGTAGACAAATAGAGGAAAGCCATACTGATTAGTATTACTGTCATTTCTTTTTCTGTCACAAAGTTATTTAACAATGCAAGAATTTATATTGACTCCTAGTTGAATGATCGTGCCCAGCATGTTAGGGAAGAAAGATATGACATCAAGAGTGTGAGGCCACTGGTCACAATATGCTCACATTTCCTTCTATTCCATTGTTATTCAGTGAAATATGTGAGCTCATAACATGGTGCCAACCATTTTCAACCACTTTCCATTCTCTAATGAACACTCTTGAAAGTCCCTCATAAGCACACAAATAGGTATGTCTCCTAAAAGTGATTTCAAATCATCCAAGTTACCAATGAAGTATAATCACCACACTTACTTAATTGGACTTTAAATTAAAAATACTCTCTCATATCTGAGAAACTGAATCAGAAGAAAATATTCTGACACCACTAACTGTGTGTTTCTACTGCTGACATCTATATCTACATACACCCCACATGTCTATCAATGTGAGTTCTGACTTGTTACTATAAATGAACTGTTATTGTTATATGGCCAAAGAGTAGATAGCATGCTTTGTGCTCTCATTAAATATCACTTTGATTTTGTATCATCCATCTTTTACTTTCACTGGGTAATTTTTTAGCTACAATGTCTTTTTCCCCTAGCAGACTTGCATGAAGAACAGAACCAAACACATGGACACAGACCCAGAGTCTGCTGGGGGACATCCATGAACACATACATGGACACATACATGCATCCAGGAACACATACGAAAAAATACACACAGACACACAGACATCCATGAGTACACATGGACACATATAGAAGGAGGGATGCAGGGATAAGGAGAGAGGTAGATGGAGAGAGAGAGAGAGAGAGAGAGAGAGAGAGAGAGAGAGAGGAGATGACAACAATATGCTCATGGGATCAAAGTAAATAGTTCTATGAATTACCATTTTAAAGACAGAGTTCCAATGAAGTTACCAGTACAGAACATTACCAGTTCAGTGAAAATCTAAAGAGTTTAGAACAGAAAAATTATCAAAATATTTTTGTGTAATTCAATAAAATCAACTGTGCTCATTCATAGTCTCAGTTCAAAGGCACAAGAGTCATTAGTGATGACAGTGTGAGTCCCAGTCTGACAACTTAGAAAACTATTTTCCAGCAGAACATAAGTGCATCTCCACATCTCTGTTGTTTTGTTCTCATGCCCTCAACCCATTTGGTAATTCCCACATACACTGAAGAGGATATTCTGTTATTCATAGTTTACCAGTTTAGTTTAAAATCTTTCCTTTTATAAATATGTCCTTTGTAGATTTTGACCACATGTTCTCTTTGTTTCATGTCTGTCACTTTCTTTTTAGAAAATGTAGACCTATTTGGCCTGAAAATAACTTATGTAGTCCAGTATGCCCCCAAGCTTGTAGTAATTTTCCTGCCTCTGCCTTCTAATTCTGTGATTTGAGGCATGTCCCAACATACTTGCTGTTTATCTTAAATAAGTGTAT